TACAAAGTCACCTTTGATGGAGGACTTTGAATGAATACAATGAGTATTTCACTTCTGCTTTTAAATGGACACAATTATAATTGTGTAATGGTCGGCCTGGACTATTATCCACCCTAAAATAATTGTTTTGTTTTGTCACTTTCTGCTATTTACTAGATAAAAACAAAAACATTGTCATAGTGCATATCAATTAAAAAAGTGCATTCAGCTACTATAGATTTCTTTGTCAGAAGTTCTTAAGTTCAGTTCATCTTCTATTTAGGAGCTAGCTTCCTAGCCCGTAAAATAACCTCTCTTAGGTTTGTTCGTTTCATGTTGATATCTTCAATTCTCTAATTTTGGTGAATATTTTTGTCATTTTTGGTAAAAAGTGATACTTTCGACTGCTTGTTAAAAACCGCAAGTGCAATTGCTTTGATAATACATATATAGGTACTACATGTGGACCTCTCTCAGATTTGTTCATTTTGTAATGATATCTTTAATTCTCTAATTTTGATGAATATTTTTGTAATTTTTGGTAAAAAGTGAAATTTTCGACTTCTGGTTAAAAACCACAAATCCAATTGCTTTGATATTACATATACATTGTATAGGTACTACATGTGGACCTCTCTCAGATTTGTTCATTTTGTAATGATACAGTATCTTTAATTCTCTAATTTTGGAGAATATTTTTGTAATTTTTGGTAAAAAGTGATATTTTTGAATTCTTGTTGAAAACAGTAAGTCCCATTGCTTATAACTATACATATTGTTCATTTTCTAATGATATCTTCTGTTCTTTAATTGAAATGTGCATTGCTAACAGCGGAGCTATCTCAGCCGAGAGGCTGCTTGTTTTTATTTTCTCTAATACTGTAGTATCTTTATATTTTTTTCTTCACAGGGATGGGATGATGTTAGTTTCCATGGTTCTGATCAGATTCCAACACCAAACATTGATGAGTTGGCTTACAGTGGTGTATTATTACATAACTACTATGTACAACCAATTTGTACACCTACAAGGGCAGCCCTCATGACAGGAAGACATCCTATACATTTAGGTGATTGTTTGATGAGTGACAGAAAGCTAATGGCTTGGAAAGCCTAATAATTATTGGTGTTAATCATGTGACGTATATCTAAGGATAAATCAGGGCAGTAATTTATTTTTTTTGCCCACTATAACTTGATTTTCAAAAAAGTTATAATTATATGTAAGTTCATGTGACTATATTGTTGTTTTTTAGGAAAATACGTTTTCAAATTAATTTCCCTCAAATCTTAGAACTTAAAGCCCGCGTATGTGAAATGGTTCTTCACTGAACTAAACCAGTGTGTATCCAGAAAAACCTTCTTTGTATGTTGAACAGCTCTGTACTTATTTAACCACTTAAGTAATGTTAGTGTTTGGTTTAGATGGTGTAGTAAGTGTTAGATATTCTATATTTGTCACTTATAGGTTTACAGCATGATGTTATTTACGGTGCTCAGCCCTATGGTCTAAGGCTAAATGAAACCACAATGGCACAACATTTAAAGGGTTTAGGATTACACAACACATATGGTGGGCAAGGTAAGGTACACTGTAATATATGGTAAATAGGGACAGGCTATTATACAACGTCTGACCCACTTCCATGATTTCCTTGTCCATTTAGACGTATCTGACTTTTACAATTCTGATTATCTGTAGTGTCTCATTTTGATTAGAAGTTTATACAATTATGACAATTGCCTTTCAAAGATTGATTCATGTCACAATAATTTTGTTTTTATTTCAACAGTGGCATCTTGGGTTTTTCACAGAAGAACATACTCCAACACACAGAGGATTTGAAACCACTTTGGTTATTATTGCGGTCACCAAGATTATTATGACAGACTATCAGGAGAGGTAACGTTAGAATTTGGAATCAAGTAATAATATGGTAATAATCCTTAAACCATGTCACAACACCAGGAAAGCCAAATGATGTATTCTACACATAGTGTTGCTATGGTGATGGGACCCCTATTGAACTAAATATTAACACTATCAAGTGCAAGAATAGAGTTTGGAGGAAATCAGATTTCACATTTGCATTGAGGGAAACCAACCACAAATAAGCAACAGGTGTTCACAAGAACTTGTGTAATTGTTGTTTGTAACAGTAATGAACTTGGTGTAAGGGTGTTCTAATCAGTTTTGTTAAATTAGTATTATTAATAGTCGGTAGTTCTCTGATCGGTTTAATATGCTGAATTATGATAAGCTTGTTCTTTAACAAGCAAAAATGTTTATTATTCATGTTCATTTATTGTTTGCATAACATTTGTTTATATAACATTTTTATTGACAGATAATTTTGTCAGAACTAAATTCAGTTTCTCCTCCATATTTTTTGGCATAATAATAATAATTATAATAATATATTTACTTTTATTGCACCATTTACAGTAAATCAAGAGTGCATGACATAAAAACTGTAACATGAAAGAATAATTATAGATTATATGCTTTCTTAAACAAATAAGTTTTCAAATGTATCCTAAAATCATTAATATTGTTTCATTTTTTTTACATATTTCGATAGGGCATTCTACAAATGTGGCTCGCATACAGACTACGTACAGCAAATGCCATATCTGAACACTATATTTGTTTTACCATGTTTCAGGGTAAATACTGGGGTTATGACATGAGAAGAAATGGGGTGCTAGACTACAGTACATATGGACAATATGCAACAGATTTATTTACCATGGAATCTCTGAATATCATTGCTAATTATGCAAACTCAACACAGGTCAGTTAATATGTATACAGGGTTACTTAACTATTTATGTACATTTACTATAGTTTTAAAAAGAATCCCTGATCAGATGCACAGTTCAAAGAGGAATCATTTAATTCTCAGAAATGCTTTGTGTGATTGTGATCAAATCTTACGACAAAGTTTACATAGTGTGCATATAAGATTTGTGTCATCGCACATTTCTGCACGTCTTAACTGATTTTTTTCAAATGTGGCAAGAGTATCGTTCATGAAAGAAAAGTGCATTTTGTCACCTCAACTTCGCTGAGACTCTCTGATAGATTTCAGTCAAAGTTGGTACATATAGACAAGACACAATGTATATTTTCAATTGACTTTTAATGGTACTAAAGGCAATATCTTTAGTTTCATGCAACCCACAAAAACTCACTTTTGTCTCTCCTGACAACAAATTGCACAGTAGAGTGCGGCCATCTCCCTATCAAATGGTCACAAGCACCTACAGACCTTAACTAAGGCATCCATTAGTGAATGAATCTCAGCCAGTTGAATTAACCTTACCATTGAGTATGTAGCACACTCACCCAGGGTAGGGGTCAACCCTATTTGGTGTTCAAACTAAGGTAAGATTTGAACTTGGGTTACCAATCATGAGCCTGACTCAAGTTCGTCATATCCACTTGGTCCAATCTGTTTAATGGTTACACCACTAATGCAACTTTATGATTATTTTGCAGCCATTATTTCTGTATCTGGCCCACCTAGGAGTCCATGCTGGTAATAATATATATCCACTACAGGCGCCTGAAACCTACACCAAGAGATTTCCACATATACAAAGTGAAAAAAGAAAGTTATTGGCAGGTACATGTCAAATAATAGTAATATAAATTTATACCATTTTTATATATAGTTTTTAAATTTTTGAAGAAATCACACTCAATAAATTCAGTTGATTGGTTTATCCCAGAAGAACAGTAAACTCCCCAAGTTGGTGCATGTGTGCCTTGTGCATACATGTTCAAAGCTGATACACAAGAAAATTATAATAATAATTTTTTGGACACAATATTGTAATTATTGGTAAAAAAATGGTGTGAAAATGATTTTCTCTAGTATTTGGGCATGCATTTTTTTTTAATACATAGTACAAAGGCAAATAGATGCATATCTTACTGACATTTTGAGGTGATTCATGCACTTTTAGTATTTTGGGACAAACCATGATATTGGAAGGAAAACTTGCTCCAGTTACTTGATGATTGAAATAGAATTCAGTTGGGAATGAACGTCATCACAACCAGTAATTTTATGATGATTATAGTGAAAAATTAGCTTTGATGTTAATTTCACAAATCATACCAACATATTTATGTATCAGTTTACTTCAGATCACAGCTTTATTTTTGGCTTTTGATTTTGTTATTGAACAACAAATTTTGAAAATGTTTTTCACTCCACTGAGTAATTTTATTTGCGAATCCCTTGTAGCACACAACTTCATTTGATCTTGTTTTTGGAGACATGACTTAATATATCTTGTTTATTTAAGGTATGGTAGCTGCAGTGGACGATTCCATTGGCTATGTGATGCAAGCCTTGAAAGCTAACAATATGTACAATAACTCAGTAATCATAGTAACCACCGACAATGGTGGACCAGTGAATGGTTACGATGGCAATGATGCATCAAACTGGCCATTGAGGGGATGTAAACATACACTGTGGGAGGGTGGTGTGAGGGGTAATGGATTTATTCATAGCCCTCTGCTGCAAGCTCCAGGACGTGTATCTACTGAGTTGATGCATGTCTGTGATTGGCTACCTACCCTATACCATGTTGCCGGGGGTGATATTAAAAATTTGACTAATCTAGATGGTTATAATATGTGGGACACTCTTTCAAGGCAAGTGGATTTGAAGATTTAATTGATATCTTTTAATTGTTTATTTCTGTTAAACATATTTTATTTCATTTTTAATTAATACCAATAACACCTAAGCAAAGCAAAAAAAAAAGCGACTACTCAACATACTGGTAGTCATGACGATGGTTACAGTGTGAAGTAAAAATATATGATTGTTTCCCTGATAAACACTGCATGATGTTTACAATAGTGCAAATGTTTTCATTTTCATATTTTACTTTCGCCGTATGTCAGCCAGACATGGGGCCGGGCATGTTTGGTCTGAGGTTCAGTGTACACTTAAGCTTGGGCTTGGCCCTCCCCCCCCCTATTATAAACATTGTGCAATGCTTGATGGGAAAACAATCATTATTATTACTTTACACTCACTATAACCACCAAATGTAATTATGATTCATACAATTTGTTCCACTAAAAGATAGTAGCACCGAGCTTTGATTTACACTCATATTCATATTGTTTAACTATAATACACATTTCCATCATATTTTTAGTGGAACTCCATCTCCAAGGACAGAAATCCTTCACAACATAGATCCAATATCGAAGACTGCTGCATTAAGGATAGGTAGCTACAAAATAATAATGGGTGAAGATGCAGGTGGACATTATGATGGATGGTATAAACCAGATGACATCAACCAAGGTAAACATGCCATGAAACCTCCCGCTAGTATGAATGGAACATTCCACATGTAGATAATGATTGCAGTTGGAAGCTATATATTCATTTTTATAATTACTAGCATTATAATAGAGCCCTACAGGAATTCAAAAATAAAAAGATGCAAATAGACCTTGGATATAAAAATGGCCGCCAAAATCTTGTTGAAAGTGAGAGAACCACAAAAGTTGTTTTTGCGCCTCTTCTTTCATTGCATCCACTTTTACATACCATGGTTACATAAATCATGGAACAGTGAACGTGTCATCAAGAGAAATAGTACACTACTTGAGGGTGCAAAATCAAGTCATGTCGCTCTCTCTCTCAACAAGATCTTAGTGTTCATTTGTTTATACAAATCTATTTGTCCAAATTCCATTTCATATTGTACTTTGAGCAACACAAGGTTTTTTGTAAAAAAATGTTGTATTTGTCTTTCGTCTCTACAGTCATGAGATTGACATAGAGTAAAATCAGACATATAATGAAAGTGCTCCCATGTATTAATAACATTATGGCAATTATGATACAGACTAAACAAGGTGAAAACATTTAATCAGTATGCAGATTAGCTAATTAATATGCATAAACTATTTATAAACTATTATCAGACGGTCAACCCTGAAAAGTATTATGCATGAATCCGTTTTAATCCACTTGAGCAAGCCATCACAAATTGCCAAAGTATCAAATTGCATTCCAATACAGCTTCCGGTTCTTGAGATATTGACACAAACAAACACACAGACGGACGGACGGACAGACGGACGGACGGACGGAAGGAAGGAAGGAAGTATTACCTTACCACTCATTTTCACTCAACACACATGGTTGTCACAAAATATATATCGTTATCTACAGGGAAATTATTGCAATTATTGTAATTAATTATTGTTATTTCTTTCCAGTATTTAGGAATTTTTCAAAAGTGGTTTATAATCCGTCATTTTCACATTTTCCTAAAAATTGAAATGTATCAGTATATTTTTTCATTCAGACAGAGGGAATACAATATATTGGTATTCTAGCAGTAAGCTACGTGTTGACTGTGGACCCAAACCTGAGAATGCTTCAGAAAATTGTAAACCGAAAGACAATGTATGCTTATATGATATTGCGGAAGACCCATGTGAATATATCAACATCGCTGATAAACATCCAGGTACAAATATTAATAACTATTCCAGTTATACCAACACTCTTTGTGCCTCATCCCAATTTAAGCCATGGATCAGTTTTTGACTCCTGTGTGCAAACAACACAATGGAAGTCTTTGCAGTTACCCTGTCTGTATCTGTATCTGTATATATGTGTGTGTGTGTCTGTCTGTCCGTTCCACTGATATCTCAAGAACCGTATGTTGGTTTTTAATGAAACTTGGTGTATAGATGCTCTGGGCTAATGTACAGACGTAATTAGTTTTGGGTAAAAATCCATTTATATAATTAACCTAATTTGCATAATGAATAGTCAATATTCGACTTTTCCCACTGATATCTCAGGTACTAATCATCACATTTCAATGAAACTTACATAAATACATGGGACGATTCACAGACAGATATGTGAAATATTAATTTTCAGCTTTTTGATATTTCAAGTACTATACTTCAATACTTTTTAATGAAACTTGGTACATAGATGCTCTAGAACTTTAAGTAAAAATGTGTGCATATTAATCAACTAATTTGCATAATTAACCAATTTTCAGCTTTTACACTGATGTCACATGTACTAATTATTCCATATCAATGAAACTTGGTACATTGATGCTCCAGAACAATGCACAGACCCACTCAGTTTTGAATTAAAATTAGATCATATTAATTACCTTATTTGCATAATAAATCATAATTTTTGGTTCTAATCACATTTCAATGAAACTTCGTACATAGATGGTCTGTGACAGTACTTATCTTAATTCAAAAAATCTTTGTACATATGTACTCTAGCACAATGTGATGATCAAATTAGTTTAGTTTTATATACACCTATAATAATTACCTAATTTGCATAATAATTTACATTTCAGCTTTCCACTAATTTAGTTAGGATTAATCATCACATTATAATGAAACTTTGTTCATGTGCACCCTGAAACAATATACAGACCTAAATCTATTCATAATAATTGCTTAATTTGTATAATAATTCATTTGGTTCATTGAGGTAATCCACAGACATGATTAGTTTAATGTTGATAAACATGCATATTGATTATCTATTATTAGCCCATTTCTGATATCTAAAAAAAAATCAGATTTAAATTGAATTCATCACGGAGGTGCTCTGGAGTAAATTAGACTGAAAATCATGGATGAAAAATCAAATGTATTTTCTGTATGTATTATAAATTTTGATAATATGAATCATATTTTTTTATGTTATGCATCTCAAGACAAAAATTAGTTGCCAAGCTTCTTGTTTGAAAAGCAAATCTTAAATTTTGAATTAATTTTAATGTGTTTCCAATATTATCAGCACACGGGAGTTCTTTCTAAGCTTTCTTTGATATAACAAGTGGATGAGAATTTCTATCTGCTGAAAGTGCAAACAAAAATTGTGTGTCCCCTGATTTCTTACATTTCACATTTATTTTCTTTGTAAAATGTGAATTCGCCACTATAATTAAATATTTGTCAAGATAACTTATCATAAAATTTGCATAACATCAAAATCTCTGCATTCATAGTAATGCTGTGTATTAACATAGAGGTCACTTACAGGTTTAACCAAACCTTAGTCTATAGGAATTTCCTGAATTTAAATTGATGCAAACATGATAGAATGACATACCCATACATCAATGGAAATGTATGATAAAAAAAATTCAACATAATCATTTTATTCTAGATATTGTACAGCATATGTTGAAAGTCTTAAGTCAGTACAATGTGACAGCAGTGGCACCAATGAACCCAGGTTTTGATCCTGCAGCTAATCCTGCCAATCATAATGGTGCGTGGGTACCATGGGTGAATTCATCATCACCAGAAGATATAAGGAAATATGGACTCCATTAACACTTACTTGCCATAGCTCTCAATTTCTTCCAAGAGAGAACTGACACTAAATCATTCAACCTCATAGTGGCAGTGCAACTAAGAAGTTGTACTACTGTTCAATCAACAGAAATTATTTTTTTTAATAATTTTTTTATTATATTTTATACATAAAGAATATCTCATGAATGACCCTACAATATCAGATTTATTAAATGAGTGTAATTTTCATTTCTTTCTAAGTCTTTGTTTATTCCATATATCAATTTCACAGCTTCTGAAGTCTAAAAACTAACAGTGATTGTAATTTGTGGGCATGCATTCAAGATAATTGTAGAACATCCCGCTCATTTGCATACAAGGTAGTTGTTCATAAACACTGATAACCGTTAGTTATAGTTATTTTTTGAGCCATCACTATACATTGTATTTATGGTTTTGGGAGATGCACTTGTTACACTAGTACTCATTTTAGAGACAATTTAAACCATACTTTTTTCAAAACCTATGAAAAATCAGCACTATAGTCATGGATGAACAAATTTCTGCATGTGGAGAGAATTTGAAATTATGTCTCAAATTTATGTGGCAAACAGTTTTGACATCTAAAACTAACAGAAATATTCAACTCCAAATATTCTGTGAAACCAACACATTAGTGGTGTCAAAATTTCAATCATCTTGCATTGACAAATCAGTTTGCCTGGATTTCTATTACATAGTATGGAGATAGAAAAAACGATTACACTGCTTTGTAACACTGGCATGATACGAGATAAATTTAATTACACGAGTGTCACTTGTTTTTCACCCCATAATCACATGGTATGCTACTTTACTCATTGATACCAACTCTTGTGACTATACAACCTTTTCAAGAGATATTCAGTGAAGGATATACAACAAACGTTGATTTCTAGGAAATGCTATTAAGCGAGAGCATGGTCATCTCAGGTGATGTACTT